TGCACAAACTGCTTGCTGTAGGGGGTGTTGGTCTCGCCTGTGAAGGTGCTCTGATAGGCCTTGGACATGCTGGTGCTGTTCAGGGTGTGAGGCCTGGGAGGTGATATAGTCCATGACAAGACAGCTCTCCCTCAGACAAAGGTGAACTACCCACCTCCTCCCTGGGATGTGACACACCAGTAGTTCCAGCAGGCAAGCATTAATGTGCTGCCTTGGGAAATGTGTGGAGGCATCAGAGTCTGCTTTGGTAAAGCACCAACTAGCTACAAGGACCCCTCCAGCACCCTAGGGGGCACAGAGAGCCCAGAGAGGAGTGGGCAGCACAATTCCCCTACACTGAGCCTGCTCTCTTACCTCCCTGCCATCTACTATCCATCTACCAAGCTGTGCTCAAAGCCATGCTCCTCAGGAGAGTTCCTCCCTAAGCAGCCTAGGCCTGGAGCTTAGGCTGACAGTTTGGTCAAATGTCTTAAGTCCTATCTCCTCCACATAATGGAAGCTCTACGGACAGGGGTTTGATATGAGGTTGGCTATAAAATTTACCACCTAAAGGTGGTATCTTTTCCTTTCCCCAGACTATCCTCTTCATTGGCATGATATCTGACTCTGTGCTGATGGCTCAGTGCAAGGGAATAACTGCTGCCTGGTGGGTGCCTTTTCACCACCCAGGGCATCAGCCAAATCCTGACCCATCCCAGAACAGTGGTTTTCAAACATTTTGGGTTCTTTTCTATTTAGCAGAAATCTTTGCAGATTATTTTTTGAGGGTGTGTGTGTGTGTGTGTGTTTCCTTTCTCTTTGACAAAATAAACTAGATGAAAAATTAGGAGCTCCTAAGATTGAGTCCAATTTTGGGGAAAAGGATTAAGGAATGGGGAAGGCTAAGTTCTGCCCATGCAGTCTATGTGTTCCAGCACTTTCTGAAACACATACACTCACAGTTTGAAAACCACTGTTGTAGAGCATCAAGGACAGGGGCTGACTAGGGGTAGAGCTTATGACGCTCTGTGACAGCTCGAGGAGCACTCAAAGGCTTTTAAGAGAGCTCTGCTACCACGGACTCTGCCTCCCTCTACCCAGAGAACAAGGCCAGGCTGCCGTGGAACACAGAATGACCGGTGAGCCACAGTCAAGAGGCAAGGTTCTGGTCCCAGCTGTGTGACTTTGGTCTAGTCACTTAACCTTTCTGGGTCTGTTTTCTCAGCTGTAAAATGGGGGTTCATACCACCTGCCCTACCTACCTCATAAGGTTGTTGTGAGGATCAAATGAGATAATGGATGTGAAAACGCTTTGAAAAAAAAAGTATAAAGTGCTATACAAATGCAAGGTTTTATTATTTTCCTATCATAATTCTAATTTATTCCTTTAATACCAACTCAACACAGTCTGGGGATGGGAAGGTGACCCTATCACTCTTGGGGCACCTGTGGTTTAGGAGAATCATAGGCCCCCCTAGAAGCAAAAGAGGAAAGGAAAGAGGTGACTGGGTCCCTTACACGTTTCATAAAATTTTACCACCATCTACACAGAACCTCCCCAACACACTTTCCCAGGATTTCTAGATTCCAACTCTCTCTAATACACCCAAGTAGTGTAGGTGAGGAGGAAAGGGTTACCCTCGTGCTATACATGTGCACCCTCTAATCAGGAAGCCTAAGAATAAATCCAGTCTCTACAAGGAAACTCTGAACTGGGTACCCCAAACCCTCCTAATGTGGCTGGCAGGGCTTTACCAATGCCCACATCTCTTGGCCTCAGCCCCACAAGCTCACCGTTTGTAGTGTGTGAGAATTTTAGGTTCTGATCGGGCACAGCCTGTGGGGTTGATCATGAGTGGTAGCTCCATCAGAGGGTGACGACCATAGCGGAATAAATAGTTTTGACAGTTCTCCACACCAGGCAGCTGTGGACACAAGATGAACTCACCTTAGCCTGAGCTCTTTTAGGACAGGGCTAAAGCTCTCAGTATCCCACCAGCCCCTGCCTCCAGCCCTTTCCTTACTGATTCAGCTATGCGAAGCACCGCATGCACCGTCAGCCCGAAGAGCTCTTCTCCTTTCAGGTACTCAGGGAAGAGCCGCAGCATGTCAGCCTCTTTTCTCATGGCAGCTACAGGCTCAATGATGCGATTCCACACAGCTAAGAGGCAGAGAGATAGAAGACCCCTCAGAGGCAAATTCTGCTCACTGACCTCTAGTCCTTGAAGTCTAGAGTTTTCATGTCTCCCTGTCCTGGAAGGGACTCTTCAGGACTCCTTTCTTTACTTTCTAATTCTACTCTCCCTAAACAAGTCAGGAGGCTTTAAACTCTGGAGGGGCCCCTGAGCACCTTGGGATACACAAAGCAACATGAATCCCAGGGCTCAAGAGACTGTGCATAGGCCTGGTTCCTTGTTGAAGGCCAGCAGAACAAGAATGCTTCAGAGTTGGGAAGACTTGAGTTCAATCAGGTTCCACAGACTTACCATGGAACTTTAAGTCAAATACTTCATCAGTCTCTAATACAGGTTCTTTTCTATATGCTGGGTATAATAACAACAACAGTACTTACCTCATATGACCAGATGGATAAAAGAATCTGTATGTTTTACTTAGATGACTTTGTGGCATATAATATATGCTCAATAAACACTACTCTTACTGGTTATTTTTATCATTAAAACTGAAATTAAGATGGAAAGTGTAATTTTGTCCACAGAAAAGCAACAGGATGGAACTGATTAAGATCAGGTTGGGAATGGGACTGACATCAGGATTGGGATTGGGGTAAGACTAACAAAAACTGGATAAATTATGTATACTGCCTTGAAACAGATGAGGGAGAGAACAATTTAAAAGCGATATATGATAGGGTATTATGGTTATCACAGGAGTCCAGAATTAAGGTTGCATAGTGGAGTGTACTCGGGGTGATGGGGGAGGTGCGGAGGGACTGTATACCAATGAAAGAATTTTACTTTTCAAAGAGAGGAGTGAACTGGGGGGGAGGGCTGGGCAGGGAGAAGGGTGAAATAATGAATGAATGGAAATCCAAAATCTCTGTAAATGTTCATTAAAATTAAGAAAATTTATAAAAACAAAAACAAAGATCAAGTTGGGTGAATCAGATAGGGTCTCAGAACTGTATTGTTGGGACCTATGGTGGACAGAAAAAGGAACCAGAATATATAACAAAGAAAACGTTTTCAACTACAGGGGTATATTTGAGACCCAAAGGTTTGACTCCACTCACTTGCTCTGAGAGAAAGATTTATAGCCTCGTCAATGTGATAAAAAGTTGCTATGAGCTAGAACTAAGGGTAATGGATTTGGTTTTTGGTTTAAGAGAGGCCAAGACGTCCCTGGATCGAGGAAGCAGTGAGGTGTTTGGCTGCTAACAGAAAGGCTGATTCTGAGTCCAACCTCTGGGCTGATGACCCACTTCTGAAAAACCAACCCTTTGAAAACTCTTGAAAGGAGTTTTACTTTGGCACATACAGGTTCACCAGGAATCAGATATGGTGCCAAGGCACTTAACTGGCTTGGCTCTCCGCCCCCCTTTTCTTAAAAAAGAGAAGTTTAAACATTTGCTCTGAAGAAAGCCCTCTCCACCTAAGTACAGGGAGGGATTACCCACATGGAAGTCTGGCATGCTTTATCAATTTTATGAAAGTTGACTATGGGAGAAACTTGCCCAATACCATGTTTCCATCTCAAAAACCCAATGCTCACCCTGGGGGGAGGCGTCAGTGAACACCAGGTCCTCCAAGCCCTGCTCCATGACTTTGATTACAAATTCTGGTCGCCCATTGTTCTCGCCGATGGAGCAGCGATAGCAGCAACGCCGGTTGTTGGTGCGGAGGCTCCAGTAGATGCGAGTGGCCTCGTAGCCCACAGGATAGAGGGCTGTGGCACTATGGAAGTCAGCCATCTGGTGAGGGAGCAGCTGTCCAATGGCATGGAACACAAGGCCACCCACACGGAACATGTGCAATCGCTCTCCCCGCTGGATGATACTAGCAATTTGCTTCACTTCGTCCCGTTCAGTATAGACCCGTCGGAAGACAGCAAAAGAGCTCAGCTCCTGTTCACAAGGCCCTTTGATCTTATGCATTGGGCACAGCATGGTCTTGTCCTTGAAGAACATGCACTTGGCGCGGATGGCGCAGGCAAAATGGTAGACGTTAGGGCAACGCATGCGATTGCAGCTGCTGGTGGCACCAGTACGCTGGCACAGGGAACACTTGGTTAGCAGTCCACGGTGCAGAGCAACCTCCACGTTCATTAGTGCCCCACCCTGGGTTTCATACACCTCTGTGGACCACAAGGCACAGTTGAGGTGCACCCACAGGTCTAGGTCCAGGTTCAGCAGACGGGCAGGCCCATCAGTGGCCCCATCCCCTTCCTCATGACAGAAGCAGCAACGACGCATGTCTCGAGGCACCTTGTCAGGTCGAAGGGCTGTGCCAAGCTGCTCCATGAACTCTGCAACTTCCCGCTCATCTTCCTCCCGCCCACTGGCCTTTTGGATGGTCAACAGCAGCCGCAGCCGTTTCCAGCGTACCCCTTTCCATTTTTTGAGGTGAGGGGGGCATGAATCCTCCCCTTCCTCTGAGGGCCGGGCTCGGGACTTGGGCCGGGCTGACTCAGGGGATGAAGCCAGTGGCAGAGGAGAAGGGACTGGTGGCTCAGCCGAGGGTTCGGCCGGGAGTTCAACCAGGGATTCAGCAGGGGGGCTGGCAGGAGAGGGGGCTAAGGGGGAGGGAGGTGGAGAAGGTTCTTCAGGAGGTGGGGCTGAGAGCTGTCGCACGTCCAGATTGGAGACACTGTAAGTGTAGCTGTGCTGGGTGGATGGCTCTGGGGCAGAGCTCTCCTAGGGGAGGGTGCCCTGTATAGTTAGTGTCCATGCCTCACCTAACTGGCCCCTCCCATGGGCAGGCAGGACACTAGCCCTCTCCACACCTCCCAGGCCAGATTCCACTCTCCCTAAAGTCCCCTGCTTTCTCTGTCCAAGTCAACACCTTTTTCCTAACACGCACCCTCCTTTTCTGTCCCAGACCCACCTGTTTTAGGAGGCTCAAGATGTCTAACTGGCTCTTGAGGGTATAGCCAGGGAGGACTGCATCAAACTGTTTTAGCCAATCAGGGCCAGCTTCTGGGTTCTTGCTTCCCACAACTTTCTCTTTCCCACCTACAGAAAGGAAGGACTCAGAGCCTCCTACCAGCACCATTCCCCTCAAGTCCCAAGGGCTTTTTCTGTCACACTCACCAGGGCCCTCAGCTTCCCCCTTCTTAGGCTCAATGCCAGTCCGTGCAGGGCTCTCTGGGAAGAGCACTTCATATGAGTTAGGAATCTTCATGCTTAGCAGCTCTGCCACTGCCACCATCACACCGTTCAGGTTCTAAAAGGGCAGGGAGGGGATAGTGGGTCATGTCAGCAGAACGTCTGGCAAGAGTATGACCCCAGCTTGGTGAAGATAAGGAAACTCAAAACACAACTCTCTAAGCAATTAGTTGTGTTGCCCTCACACTCACAGAAAAGGATTTATGTCTAAACAGTGAAGGAAACGATGCTCACTACTCCATGATTCACAATACACGTTAGCAAATGAAAGGATCTGAGAAGTTGTGCACAAGAAATCCCCTTTTTCATCCCATTTAGACTATGTTTTCAATTTTGTCTAGCCCCAAAATCAATCTTAATATAAAAATAGCAGAGTTCCACCAAACATGACAAGGCGGTGCTGTCTTGCAGCATTTGTTGCACTGGACACACACACCTACTAACTTGGGTTTTTACAACATTAGACTATAAGCTCCTTAAGGAAGAGGCCATGCTTCATTTCTCTGAGGACCCAGAACTCCCCCACAGTAGGTACCCTGTATGAGGTTTTTTTTCTGTATGAGTTTTTAGATGAACAAATATTTTTTATCTAAATGAACTCCAGAGACTGCCCTCTGGGTTTTCTTGGCCTTGGAGGTATCCCTCGGACAAACCTTGGCTGCAGCAGCAGACACTGTCAGCATGACTGACACCTCACTTCCTTTGCCCTTTTCCCAAGTTGTTGTAGGCAGCTTCCCTTGGGCCTCTAGGTCCAGGGTCCCAAAAGGTTTCATTTCTGGGAAGACTGAATGATAGAGAGACCTGTATGAGGTCCAGCCACCTCATTTTCCCAGCCCTGCCTGCCCTAGCTCACACCAAAGCAGCACCTACCTGGGATGCTGGCCCGAGGAATGATGGGGATGACTGGGGATAGGGCGCGGTCATCCTGCTCCCACTGGCATGAGCCCAGTTGAGGGAAACGAGGTGCCTCCTCCCCTAGGATGCTCTCAGGGGATGAAGCTGGCACAATACTGTCAGGAGAATCACTGTCTTCATCACTCTCCATCCTAGGAGCCAAAATTTGACATTTGTCTACAGCTCTGTGAACACTCTCTCCCAAATCTAGAGACCAGTAGATATTATAACCTCATTTTATATCTGCCCTTAGACGAAAACTGAGGCCACTTGCCCCTCTTCCCTTCCTCATCCTTATCCAGATGCACCCCACCTGACATCCTCAGTCTGATTGTGAGGTGGTGTAGGCAGGGCAGCCAGCAGGTCTAAACTCTTCACCTCTGAAGCATCTGGGGGATGGAGAGAGAGAAAAGTCAGAGTGAGGGGACTCAACAGTACATTTTCCTATGTAGTTCTGGTCTGAGCAGCATGAGACCTTAACCACCAAATCTTGCTGGTAAGGAGGGACCCACTCTGCCCATGACTCACCCCTTAAAGCTCCTTCAGTCTCCCGGGCAGAGGTGGCATCCTTGGGGTGCTCCCCCAATTCTTCAGATGGGGTGACACCATTCACCATCTTCTGCTGCACCGATGGGGGTGGGGTGGGGGGCAGCGACGAGGGTGGTGTCGGCGGGTTACTCAGGTTATTCTGGGGGTGGGGTGGGGTGTTGTGTGCAAGATGCCATAGGGAGACTAAAGCAATCTCCTGGCCCCACCCTCTATCAGCAATGCCCTTAAGTCTTCCACTCCCACCCCACCTCTCCCAAAATCACATTATCCCCAACGGTACTGGCATTTTTCTGACCTTGGTAAGCAGCTGAGCATAGTAGTCAGGGCCAGTGGACAGTGCCCCACTTCCAAAGGCCCCCCTCAGTTGGCTCTGCCCACTAATGGGACAGCCACTGCCAAAGGGGGCAAAAAGGTTAAAATTGGCGGTGATCATAGGCTCAGTTAGGGGCAGCAGGGACAGCTCCTAGGAGGCAAGATGACAAGGTTGGAAATCTGTAGCATTTGCATCTCTGCCATTGTACAGCTAGGGGCCAAGGTGCCCCCTATCCTGGGATGGGACCAGGGGACTGGCTCCTGGGGGTCACCTGTTTCAGCTGTTTCAGCAAGGCCTCGCTGGCCCTGACCCCGTCCTCCTTCCGCAGCTTCTTTCGGGAGCTCACCAACCTGTCGCTTGCCTTCTGTACCCGCTTGGGCTTCGGGGTCAATGGCTTCCTTGCTGCTGCATCCTAAACCAGATAAGCCCACAGTGAAGGGTATTTGCATCTTCAGAGCTCTCATCTCTTATATCTAAGACCTGAGCAACTATCTCTAATATCCAGATCCCACACTATTGCTCCTCTTTGGCTAGGGCACTTACCTCCTTGTTGCTGGGGGTACCCTGTAGTTTCTGCTCCAGCCCAGCCAACTTGCTGTCAATGTGCCCGTTGATCTCGGCTCGCAGCCCCTCGGGCCCCCGCCCAGTGCTAAGCTGCACATTCTTTGCCCGTAGAAGCTTCTGCAAGAGCAGATGTCCGGCCTCTGAGCGGGGGCCTGCCAGCAGGAGGTGGTTGCTGGTACCTGGTGCCCCTAGTGGCTCCCCATTGGCCTCCCTTTTCACTGCCTGAGCCCCCAGGGCACATGGTTCTTCCCGAGGCTCCTGTTTGATGCTGAGATGGGGTGGCTCAGGTATCGTCTGCCCATTCACCTTCTCCAGATGCCCAGGTACCAAGCTGCTATCCTCTGACTTCTGAGCTTCTGCTAGGTTGTCAGGGGGATCCCAGGGTCCCAGACCCTTGCCAAAGAAGGTGTCCGCAAGCTGGGCAGTTGCAGGCGAGACCCTCCCAGAAGGCAGTTCTAAAGGTGGTGCCTGGGGCTTTGGAGTCCCTGGTTGGGTAGGAGTGAGCTGGACCTCGGAGGGTAGGTGGGGACTGGGAGAAGGTAATTGTGGGGATGGTCTCTTTGGCTCTTGGGGACTGGATGGTGGGGGTGTGGGATGGACAGGGGCAAGGACTGGTCCTACTGATAAGGCTCCTTGTGGACCAGGGAGCCGGGGTGTGCCTTGAGTTCGAGGCCCTGTCCCCAGCTGCTCCTGGAGAGGGACTGTTTGGGATCCAGGGAAGCTACCAAGTTGAGGTTGGCGGCCTAGGAGGCCCTGGAGGGGAGATGGCTGGGTCCCAGGCTCCTGGTAGGGTGGAGTCTGGCGAATTGCCTGACTCTGCTGCAGTTGCCGCTGCATGAGAAGTGCCTGTAGCTGTTGTTGCTGCTGAGGACTCAAGTGCCGCAGCTGTGGGTTTTTGGCCAGGACTCCTTGAAGCTGTGCTCTAAGTTGACCCACTGTAGGCATGACGCCAGCCCCAGGCAAGCCCTGTCCAGATTGGGAGACAGATCCTGGTTTTGGATTTTGTGGCCCTATATTACTTTGCATGGGCCGCTCTAGCCCAAGGGGGTGCTGGGGACCCAGAAGGTTCTGCGTCATGGGACCAGGCTGCTCCCCTAAGGAAACAGAGGGTTGGGGCAGCAGGTGGGGCACAGATGTGGCTTCAGATGATCCACTGCCTAGCTGCCCATGGCTTCCCCCACCTGCTGTGTGAAGCAAGTTAACTTGCTGCTGCTGCTGCTGCTGCTGCTGTCCTGGGAGCCTCAAAGGTGGCTGTAGCTGCAGGGAATTGGGCTGAGGCTGGGCCTGGGGTTGGACAAGCAGGAGCTGTGAGTCCCCAGAGAGTGAGGGCTTTACCTCCCCTGGCTCAGTGGCCATTGATTCAGGTGTAGTCCCGATTGCTATTGGGCCTCCCTGATGTGTGGAGGGACCCTCAGTGACCTCTGGAGGAAGAGCTGTCTCTGCAACGCCTTGTTCTTTGCCCGTCAGGAGGACAGATGGGCCCAGAGCTCCAGGGCTAGAAAAGTGTTGAAGAGGCTTGGCTGGCATGCCAGGACCTAGTGTCACCTGTTGCTGCTGCTGCTGAGGAGACAGTAAAGTTCTGTTCTGGTTCAAAAGGCCCATTTGCTGCTGCTGCTGTTGAAACTGTTGCTGCTGTAGCTGCTGCTGTAACTGTTGCTGCTGCTGTAACTGCTGCTGCTGTTGTAACTGTTGCTGCTGCTGTAACTGTTGCTGCTGCAGCTGCTGCTGTTGTAGCTGTTGTTGTTGTTGCAGCTGCTGCTGTTGCTGTTGTAGCTGCTGCTGCTGAAGCTGTTGCTGTAGCTGTTGTTGAAATGGGTGCTGCTGAAGCTGCTGCTGCTGTAAGGAGCCCATGGGCTGTGTATTCAGTTTGGACTGTCCACTATGTGGCATCAAACCCTGCTGAAGGTGGGTGAGTCCTGCCATGGATCCCTGCTGTTGGTGCTGCTGTTGCTGCTGCTGGGATGTGACTAGCCGGTGTCCCATAAGGCCCTGCCCCTGCTGTGCCAGCTGGGGGGAGCTTAGCACGCGAGGCTGGGTCAGAAGTACCTGTCTGTGAGAGCCTTGGGGGCCCATAGCTCCAGGGTGCTGCTGGTGTTGCTGCTGCAACACTGCTACCTGGGCAGGGCCCATCATGCCCTGGGGCCCCTGAGGTGGTTGGGGGGACAGCTGTTGGACCAGGAGGCCCTGATGGCTGTTGGGAGGCAGAAGTGCCTGGGGTTTGGGACCCATGGGCTGGTTTGCCTGCACCCCTGGGCCCTGCTGCTGTTGCTGCTGGACCGCCACCTGTCCTAGAAGGTGCTGTTGCTGCTGTTGCTGTTGCTGTTGCTGCTGCTGCTGCTGCTGCTGCAGTTTCTGGGCTAGCTGCATGCGCTGCTGCTGAAGCTGCAGCTGCCTTTCCTGCAAAAGTCTTGAATCAGGTCCCAGGCCCCGAAGAGCAAAGTTGCCAGGCATGAAACCACCAGAGGGACCAGGCAGGGCCCCAGCCCCACTAGAATGTTGCTGTTGCTGCTGTTGGGCCAGGGCTGTGTTGAGGAAGGGACCACCTGGTTGTCCAGGCAGTGCCATGCCCCCAGGAGGCAGGCGAAGACCTCCAGCTTGCCCACCGAGGGGTCCCTGAGGTGGCTGCAGCCCATGGCCTGGGAGGAGTTGACCAGGGAGCTTAGTGAGTAGTCGGGGACTCTGGGAAGGGCTGAGGGCCAGCACAGCTGAGTGCTGTTGTTGTTGTTGTTGCTGTTGCTGCTGCTTATTCCGATATTCTGCCATGAGATTAGTGTGTTCTTTCTGTTGTTTTCGGACCTAGAATGAGAAGGTGAGAGTCGTTCCTTCAAAGTCTGCTTACCCACTCTTTCCCGGCTACTAAATGCTACGCTTAAGTCTATGTTCCTCACCTGATCCAGCTGTTTCTGGATCTTGCTCTGCTGTTCTGTGACCAGCTTAAGCTTCTCAGCATCAGCCTCTGGAAACTCTCGGCCAGCCTTTTTGGCAGTGCGCTGCTTGGCACACAGTGCCTTCCGGGACTTTCGGTGCACACCAATCTGCTCCTCTAGCACCTTTAGCTGCATCTGTAGGAGTTGTTGGGTGTGGAACAGCCATTCCTCATACTGCCGCTGGTCAGCCTCATCTGGGAGAGGAAGTGAGTGTCAGGATCTAGAAAATGGTGATCCCAGTGCCTCTTCTTCCTCATACTCCAAGTCACTTCTTTCACCCTTCTTCCCAAGACTCATACTTACTTATGACCCCCTGAGCAAAAGTGGGTGGGTTGGGACGAGGCTGGGAGGGGTCACTGGCACTCCGGTCCTACAACAAAAGACAGTGTTAAAGGATCATTGTTCTGCATCAAACCCTAAGAAGGGTGGCCCAATGGCTTAGAATATAAGTTTCTATTCTCACCTTGTCACTTACCTGGCCATTCCCAGCTGCCACATGGTTCTGCAGATCATTGCCAGGCGCCCCTGAGAGCCGCTGGGCTAGCAGTGACACTTGCTGCCTAGGATCCAACAAAGCAAAGCAATTAAGTGCTAGTAGATGAGGAAAGCAGAAAGGCAAAGGGTGGAATAAGTAGGCTCAAAGATGCTAGTCCAGTCAAGGGAGGAGTGTACCTGGAAAAAGCTTCAGCTTAAAACAAAACAAAAACAAAAACACACAAAAAAACCCAAAACACCACACACAAAAAACACCAACCCAACCCCAAAAGCCTTCTATTCCTAATTCTTACCTGTTCATACCAGGTGCCACCCCAATAGTGCCCTGAGCCATAACTTTCTTGATTCCTTTCAAGGCTACCATCTTGGCCTTTGCAATAGGATCAATAATATCTTCTGCAGCAAATTTGTCCAGATCTGGAGAGGAAAGAGCCAAGTAAGCTGGGTTTTGAGGTCCTTGCTCCACTCCACGTCTGCTGTTCCTTCCAGTTTTCAACAACTGTAAATTACAAAGACCACTGGACCGGGAGTCACTCAGATAAGTTTGCGGTTATTCACAGGACAGGAGGTCCTGTTTTCACTGGCATACTACTAGCAACAGGTGGGGAGCCCCTGTGGCACAGCCTATAAAGAGTTACAGTGCTAACTCCAAAGCCACACCTCTTTGGTGGTTCAAATCCATCATGGGTTTGGGTATTCTCCTCAGGTGTTGTAAAGCCTCAGAAACCTACTGGAGGGTCAACTATGAGTTGGTTCTGACTCCACAGCAGTAAGTCTGAGTAAATAAGTATTTTTCCAAGGAATACATCCATGTTATTTCACCTATTAGCCTCTGTTTACTCCTCTATTTGAATAAGAGCATGAGTCCTACACTCTGACAACCTCAAAGGCCTGATGAGAGTCAAATCTGATGAGAATAGGACCTGAAAAACACTCTTATTAAATAGTCTTCTTGGAGCAACTAGCACAGACTAAGAGCCTGTGTCAAAACCTTAAATGCAGTAACTGTTTGGGTAGAACAGGTATGACCTATAGCTCATCCTCCTGTGCAAGACAGGGGGTGCAAAAGTAGAAATGAAGGATCACCAACTTCAATCTTCCTAGAATCCTGTACTTTGTGTATTTCTCCACTGCTCAGAGTATTTATCTGAATACCTTTTCTACAAGACTAGTCAAACTCTCTCTTGGCATTTAAAGGAATAAACAGTTAAAGAGTGTCAGAGTTCTAAGATTCAAACTCTAACTCTGCTAGCTAGGTTAGTTCCATCTTCTGCAAAATGAAAATGTTCATAATATCTAATGATTCTCTACGAGATGGAATGGGTGCAATGGGAGTGGGTCTCATTTTTGGGGTTTTAACAACTCCTTAGTGGTGCAGGTAGTTAATGTGATCAGTTGCTGACTGAAAAGTTGGTAGTTCAAGTCCACCCAAGGGCTCCACAGGAGAAAGGCTTGGTAATTTACCTCCAAACAGTGAGCCAGTGAGAATTTAATGGAGCAAAGACCTACTCTGACACATGAGATCACGATGAGGCAGGCTCAGTATAACAGGACGTGGTAAGTAATGAGTTTGTGGTGTTGCAAGCTTTTTACCCAAATAAAAGAAATTCTAAATATGTGTTTGCTGTGATGATTAGGTAATGAATATAAATCACTATTAGACCAACAGTAATTAATACGAGATCATAATCTGAAGTCTTTCCCAATCTGACCCTCCTTTTCCAAAGTGTCCACTCATGTCCCTCTAACAAAGCCTACTCCTGCAAAACCACTTCGCTCACCGCTCTCAAAGCCCTTAGTGTTTCCCTGCTACTAGAGCCTCACTCAAGTCTTGTCACTTGTTGGGACTGTTTTATTTCTCTCAAAGTTCTAAACTTTCAGCCTAATAAAATCTAAAAAAATCTCTCCTAATCAGGTTTCACTCATTTAAACATTTTCTGAATGGCTGTTGGATCAGAACTATTCCCTCTCAGCAACAACCATGCTTCCTGCATGTATCACTAACTAGCATGGTGCTTAGTCAACCTTCTCACTACATTTTCCCGAACTAAAGATTGACTTGAATTTTAGACCCCAGTGCCCATCTGGTAGTCAATGATCAGCCTGCATAATTCAGTTTGCCCCCAGTTGTGTATACCTGTATCTGGGAAGAAGCTGTTCGCCAGCTGCTGCTGTATTGGCAGCTGCTGGGGCTTCATGCACATGGAAGGTGGCATAGTGCCCATGGGCTTCTGTGCCATCATTGGCTGTGGGCTCTGCTGGGATATCAATCCAGTTTGCCCTCCATGCTGTCCACTTAGCACATGCCCTTGGTTGGACACCATGGCCATGGGTGGGGCCAGGCGCTGTTGGAGGGCATGAGGTGGTGGCTGGGTGGGCATCAGTGGTTGAGCCAAGCCTGGTGGTCGCACACCTCCAAGACCCAAGGTAAGCTGCTGTTGGGGCCCAGTCAAACTAGAAGAGCCCTCGTGTGGCAAAGGCATGGCTTGGGTAGAACCTGACGTGGACAGTAGAGAATGCTGCTGTTGTTGCTGCTGGGCAGGCTGTAGCTGTGCTGAAAGCTGCTGCTTCTTCTGTAGCTCCTTCTTTTCATGCTCCAAAAGATCCTCAATGAGTAAAGGCAACTCACTAGCCACCAGGGAACTCTCCATCTTGTCCAACTCATCCCCAGATGCTGTGTGTCCACCAGGCAAGGCCACACTTTCCAGTTCAAATTTTTCCAATAGCGAAGAGCCTCCTGGGCCACTCAATGGGCTAGAAGTCAGCAGGTGAGCTGATGGTCCTCCTGTGGCCCCAAAGGGACCTTTTTCACCTGTATGCCCACTGCTGGAAAAGGGCCCTGTGCCCACCCGTGTTTCCCGGCCTATCACATTCTGTCCTGGTTTCAGCCCCAGGCTCAGCGAAGTGGTGACAGGTGTTGGCTCTACCTTGGGGGTGGTAATGGTAAACTGGCAAGGGGAAGGGTGGCGTCCACTTTCCTCCACCTTGGTTTTTATTTCAGGAAGTACTGGTGCCAGGTGCGGCTCAGAGGCATCAGAAGCAGGGGCGGGGGCAGGGGCGGGGGCAGGACGCTCCTCAGAGCCCAAGGGTCCTTGCTCCACTCCCCGCAGCAAGGCCTCTCGCTCAGCTTTCTCATTGGCTGACTCAACCAGTCTTAGATGTTCGTTGAAAATGTCCTTCTTGTCTCCAGTGTCCAGCTCAGGATCAGTATAGGCCAGTAGGTCAAATTCATCTCCATTGAGTAGGTCATCTAGGTGAGGGTCATTAGTTTCCAGGTTTTCCAGAGTCCCCAGCTCATCATCACCCTTGGCCACATCCACACCCAAGCCCAGGTGAGCAAGCTCCTCATCATCTTCCAGGGCCTTGTGAGCATCAAAGTCATCATCCAGCTCAGAATCCTCACAAGGCAGCTTTCCAGCTTCCAGGGCCAAGGGAGTGGGACGGCTAAGTTCAGTGCTTGAAGGGGGCCGGGTGGCCAGTTCTAAGCCAGTGGACATAGTGGGACCCTTGGTGTGAGGTGCTGGATGGAGGTTATTGTTTAATTCATTGGCTGGTGGGGCTGAGGGTTTCTGTGGCGGAAGTCCTGATACTGCCAGGCCTCGAAGTCCTTCAGGGGCTAATCGGTGAGGATCCTCACTTACAGAGTAAAAACGAGGTCTCTGTGGGGGTCCCTGACCAGGGAATGGAGGCCCTCCAGGTCCTAGTCCTTTCTGCACATTGTGCCGTAATTCAATGAACTGAGCAGGACCAACTGGACCAGGCACTGGCTCACCAGGACCAGGCAAGCGAGTAGGAATTCCTGTCAAAGGAGAACCTAGGGCTTGGCGGCCAAGCTCAGGCCCAGGAGTTGATGGAAAGCGAGTGGACATTGCAAGTCGCATGGGGGTTGCTGCTGTTGATTGTTGCTGCTGTTGTTGCTGCCACAACTGCTGCTGCTGTTGTTGTTGTTGTAAGGGCAGGGACCCAGGATAGGGTGTTCGCTGATAGAAGGCCTGGGAGCCTCCTACTAGTTGTCTGAAAGAATATATAGTAATCAGTCAAATAAAAACAGGATGAAAAGCTAAAACTGTTTGGGGCAATGAGGAAGGATGACATTAATAAAGGGAGAAGGAAGGAATGTGAAGAAAATAAATGATATGGAAAAATTAGAGACGGAAAGGTCAAAAGAAGCACACAACAACAATAAAACAGCTTCCTGATTTACCCTCAGGGAGGCCCTTGGGTCTTACCGGCTGTTCACATCAATAGAAGGAGTGGCTGATGGAGGTGGCCGAGAGAGTCTGTCATCACTGGGGAAGGTTCCTGCACCCAGGACAGGGCCACCCAGCTTGTTTTGGGACAGTCCCACAAGGCTGCTCTTCTCCTAGAAGAAACGCAGGTAAAGGCTGCCACATTCAGCAGCCTGGCTCCACTACTTTGCTGGTTCCTGCTAACCCTCACTACTCCACCTACCTGGGTTCCAGGGAACGGAGTCTGGCCCCGACTCAGCTGCTCAAAGGCAGGGCTGTTGGGCTCAGCACCCCAGCTGCCCGGGGGCCCCACTGCTCCTGCAGCTGCTGCAGCTGTTTCCTTCTCCTGCCTCAGGGTGTTACGCTGGATCTGCTGCCGAATCAGCAGCTCCCGCAGTCGCTGTCGCTGTGAATGGAACAAAGAAAAATTAAGTCAATTCTACTCCAATCATGAGGTTGGTGTTCTGGGGGCCTCAGCCCCAGGATGTCAACTTACCTGCCGTTGCTTCTCCAGTTCCGTCTGGCTGAGGCTGGGCATGCCTGGATCCTGTGCACCTGGGAGTTCAGGTGCTGCTAGGGAGCTGCCCATTCCAGCCCCTGGTTCTTCTCGCTTCTCAGATGGAGAGGTGATCCCTACTCGCTGTGAGGCTCCATGGGACAGGTAGGAGAGGGACCCATCGGGTGCAGGTGAAGGCAGGACTGATGGTGGTCGTAGTGGGGACAACCCATAGCCTTCTCCGGTGGACCCACTGCTGGGCCCAAGTGGGCTACCCGATGTGTGGAAGTTCCCAGTGGCTACAGCATAGTTTGTGCTTTGAGGCTTGCACAAGGTGGCACCAGGCCCCAAATGGCTATTGATCCCATGGGGTTGGGGGAGAACAGGCTGAGGAGCAGGGGGCTTTAGGACAGGCTCCCCTACCGCCTGAGGGAAGGTGAAACGCATAGAAGAGGGAGTGCCCACAAATGCACCTGTCCCAGGGGACCGGGCAAAATTAGGGGGCTGTCCACTTGGAACCTTGGCATGGAGCTCACCTGCTGGGCCTGAGGGCAGGGCTGCTGGAAAGCTCCCAGACCCTAGCGGAGTGTGAGCTAGAGGCCCACCCTTGAAGGCAACTTCAGGGGGCTGGGGTCGGGGTGGCTTATGCAATGGGGCAAATGGGTCACGGGACTGAGGACGTGAGGGTGGGCGAGAGTAAGGGTCAGGAGACTGAAAGCGAGGGGTAACGGGAGATGGGCAGAAAGCCTCAGCAGATAGAGGACGGGGTGTCAACGGAGACTGGGAGCTGGACTGGGACTGAGGACTGGCAGGGACTCGGGAGAAAGGATCAGAGGGCAGTGAGCGAGGGGGCAGGGCACAGCAGCTCTCAGAGGGTGGGGGCTGGGGCCGAGGAGTCAGTGGGGGCTGGGCATAGGGGTCAGGATAAGGGCCAGGACGAAAGATGTCCGAGTGGCTAGGGGGAGAAGGGGCCAAAGCCTGGGCAGGAGGAAGCTCCTGGGACCGTAGTCCCAAACCCGGGCTCTGGGGCTCTACCTGAGATGCCCGAGGGGTGAGAGGGGCTTTGAAGACATCAGGTGCCTTTAATTCTAGACCACCTAGGTGGGGGCCTGAGGAGGGTGAATCAACAAAACCCAAGTTTGGCGGTCCATAGCTAGGAGAGGCTGCCCCCAGCTCTTCCTTCTTCACCTCTAGTGCCTTCCGGGACTCCCCAAAAGGTGGGGGAGAGAGAAGAGGCTCAGAAGTCTTGCCTCCCCCTACCCCTGGGCTCTCAGGCACAGCCAGGTTGTCCAATGATGGGCAGCGGGGTTTGAGGAAGGGGTCAGGGGTGGAAGGCTGGTGTCGGGGAGTGCCAGGTGGGGTCATGTGGAATTCTCCTGGCTGACCAGTCCCAGGACGAGACGATGTGCCCATCGTTGGGGGCTGTGCAGGGGCCCCAGTTGGGCTAGGATAAGGGGAATAGGCAGGTGGTGCCGTGGGGAAGCGGGGCTCCAGGGCGTAGGCGGGGGCCAGTCCAAAGGGGTCCTGCGAAGGCACTTGGGCGGGCACCTGGGGTGGGAGCTTGAGGAAGAGCTCACCGGGCGAGTCGGGGCCGGGCACCGTGCCTGCCGGTGGCTTCAGGAACCCGTCCGCAGAGGTAGACAAGCCGGCGGGGGTAGTGGGACTGCCAATGAAAATGGTGGGGGCAGCAGCAGGGGGCGGACTGCCCAGTGCCCCTGGCTGGGGGGGAATGCGGAGATGTAGGGCCGGTCGGTCAGTCTTACGGGCTATGTCGCCCACCTTGGTCTGCTTGTTGATCTGGCTCTCAGCCTGCTATGGGGGAGACCAGGCACAGAGCAGTCAGGCTGCTGTGGATGGGTCTCAACCCTCTCACACCCTTAGAGAGGCCACACACTACACGACTTCCATGGCTTGGCCCAGGCCAACTGTGACTCACCTTTTGCACCTTATTAATGCGGTGAGCTGCCCGATTATCTTTGGCCTTTTGCTGAAAGATAGAAATGTATCTTTATGCTTAGAACTCAGCTTCAGGCCCATCCTCCATGCCTTACAATACCATTTACACACTACCCAGAAGCTGATCCCTCTGGCCCAGCTGCTTCAGCGGTAGGAAGTAGAAAGAACTGAGGTCAATTTTCCTAGGACAGCTCCTCCAACTTCAGTTCATCATAATGAATAATGTTGCTTTGTCTTACCAGGTAGGGAGCTTTGTCAGCAGCTGGAACCTTTCTCCAGAGTTTCATGATTTGTTTGCATCGGCTAGACCAATCTGCAGGGCAAAAGGAATGAGTTAGAAGAGAAAAATATCCTGTGCTGCCAGACTGTTTTTCCTGCTCTCATTTCGTGCGTACCTGGGTAATCTTGCTTAAGATTGGGAAAGTTAATGTTGGCATAGAGCACAGGTGAGATGGTAGAGAGCTGGCCCAACTCCTCATCCTTCTCCCAGCGCTGAAGACTCCGCTGGTTATAGGAGAGTCCATCGCCTTCTCCCTCTGTGGTGGGGGTGGTGGGGGTGGAGGGCGTAGTGCCTCCTGAGCCTGTCCATGGGCTGTCTGGCTCGCCGGGTTCCGGGCTGAAGAAGCCCCCGCGCTCCCTAGGGCGCAGGGGCAGAGAGTCACAGGGGGCAAGGACACCAGGCTCCAGCCCACATGTAATATACCTCAAGTCCCTCCCTGTCAGGACACTGCTTTGTCCTGACAGGGAGGGCTCTTTTCGTGGGAGCAAGGACACCCAGGAGTCCAAGGGAGGAGAGGTATGGATCTAGTCAATGGAATGACAACAAAGGCTACCCAAAAAGGATAAGCATAGATACCAACCTACTATCCAGGAACGGGGACTGGCAGAGGCCAGGATAGGAGTCCATTGGGCTGTTAGAAGGAAGATTGCCCAAAGGAAGTCCACCTAGAAAAGGCAATGGATCAGAAGGAAAGGAATGACTGACCCATCTAAGAGTAAGCTTGACTGCACATGACCACCTGGTCTTCAAATTACTCCCACCTGCACCACTTTGGACAAAGGGCCTCTGCAGTGGTGTACGGCTGCCATCTAGGCCAGGAGTTCCACAACCCAGATGCTGCTCTCGTTCCGAACCTAGAACATCCTTGAACAGCTGCTGTAGGTCCTTCGATTCCATCTTCGGCAACTCTGTGGGGGAATGATGGGGGTCATTGCTGAGAAGACTTGGGAGCTTAGGAGACACAAGTCTGCAAATGCGCAAGGACAGGGAAGGTGCCCAGGATTCCCCACCAGAAAGGCTGTACAGACAGTCCCACAGGTAGGATTATGGTTTCCCACAGAGGACCCTCACATATAGTAAGGTGTGAGTCTCAGTCTCACCTTCTGTGGAAATCCTGTCTAAGTCAGAGCTAAGCATCCCTTCACCCGGGGTGCCTGGCTTCTCGGGATCACTGGGCACTGGGGATGCCTTTACGCCCCCATCCTCAGGTCCTGTAATTGCCAGGAGAAACCCATCAGCCAAAGCCAGTGTGGAGGTACCAAATTAGTCTGAATCACACAGGGGTATGTCAGCTTCCAGTTTCCTATCGTGCCACTGGCTCAGGGGCAAAACAGGTTAGCAGATGCAAAGCCAAGACAGGACAGCCATACAGCTGCCCTTACCTGGTGTATCAGCCTTGCCCTCGATGCCACGTGACTCTTCATCTGCAACATCTGGACCATCATCTCCTAAAAATGATAGTCCCACTTTAATTAGAGATACCTTACATCTGGCGCTCAGACCCACCACAATGGCTCAAATCAGCTCTCTTCCCACCCAATACCCGTGACAGTTCCTAAGAGCAGAGGGAAAATGGATGGCCTCACAACCTCTCACTCTATGAGTGACCTTTCTGTAAAGTAGGTGGCTCCTTCCTTTCTGTGCCTCCATCTCCTTTGGCTTTTGGGGTTCCTATTCCAAGGCTTGGCCGGTTCACCCCAACTGCAAAAAGGGTCTTACGACTCAGGTCTAGCAGCTCCTTCCCAAAAAAGGCTTCCTATGGGGAGAATCAGGGTGAAATAGGTCTCTCCTCATTTGGCATGGCCAGACACCCCTGCTCACTGCTCCGAACCTAAGCCCCACCTGCAGGTAGGCAGGGAACATGTCCTCTAGCTTGCTCTTCTTGCGCCCTCGCCGCTGCTGCTTCTTCTTCTCATCCCCATCAACTAAGCTCTGCTCCATGGAGCTCTCTGCAGGTAGTTCAGCAGGCATCACTGAGGACAGGACATGTGTTTCAGCCTCGGTGAGAACCTTCAACATGCAGCTTGTCACACAACCCAATGGCATTTTCTGCTGACCCTCTCCCTACACCACCCTTTTGGCCCCTTTAGTGGTTTTCTCCCTGGGTCCTGCTGGCATTGCTCTGTGGGTCTGATAACCCCCACCTGCTCCCAGGCCCCACTGGTGCCCTCACCCATCTCACCCTCATCGGGCTGCCCATCACCACTCAACACCTCGGCCTGTGCTGCAGGCCCCTTTTTCACACGTGTGTGGGATTTCCTCTGTCGCACCATGAAGCCTCCAATGCCTAAGAGGTAGAGCTACAGATGAGGACTACTGGTAGACCCGGTCCTCACATCTTCCCCTTTCCCTTCCCAGGGCCTCACCAGGTCGATATGGTTTGCGCTTGCGTTTTTTGCTTTCCTCAGTCTCCTCTTTGCCAGGCTCCACATCAGGGCTGACAGGACCCTCCAGTTTAATCTCACACTCCATATGCTCTACACCACCTGAATGCAGGGTCAGAAGAGAAGGAGACAGGTAAGAGGCATGAGCTTGGTAAATCTTGTCATCCTGCCACCCAACAGCAGAGAGTATTGAGTGCCCTTTGAGAGCCATCTGAGTACGACCAATAGTAGCTTCAAGACTGGGAGTAGCAGCATTGGCCCCACCTAGATCCCAGCTTTCACAGACCCACCCACAACTTTACTACTCCCTAAGATTTCCCAGCCCAACCTTCACCCTTGATAAGTTCGTCAGTGTCCAGGTCCCCATCCTTCTTGTCCTCAGGGCCAAGGGTATCTGAGGGCTCGGAACCTTCCAGGCCTGCCTCCCCTGGGAGTCCGGGCCGCCCACGCCGCTGGCGCCGCTTGTGCAGAGGTGACAACGTCAGGTTGCGCAGAACAGCCATGCCAGTTTCTGTCAGCCACACACCCTCAAAGCGAAAGTACTGGGGCTCTGCACAAGAGGGAAGAACACATGGGCCCTGCCTGAAGGCTGAAGGAAACGAGGACTGAGTACAGGTCTGAGGCAGGTCCCCAGTAGAACAAGATAGAAACAAAGACAGACCAGACAGAATCCAGTTTGGGAGTTGAGACTACCAGTTGGTACTAGTTAAAGCTAGAGTTCTCCAGTAGTGACCCAAGGAGACTGAGAAAAATATTGCTACTGCAAAAGTTTGCTTTTTCTTATGATTTTCCCTAGGTCTACCAAGACAGTCTATACATGCCTGGGGCTTGGAGAGCCCTACTTTATGAACTTCAGCACAGAGTGCCCCAGATGCCAGCAGCAGTACCCACACCATGATGGAGAAACAAATGACTCTGCTTCTGTTATTGATGAGAAAAAGATGTGCTCACTGTGTTCATTAGAAAGGAGACTCCAACAGTAAAGAGGCCACATGCCTGGGAAGACTACTTCTGGGACACTGGAGACCTCTGAACTAGTCATACCTTTCCCACTAAGTTACTGAGTGTCCTTGGGTAGGCCTAAGCCTCTCTGGGTCTTAGTTTAAAATGAGGAGAGGAATTAGGAGGTTGGAACTGAACTAAACTGATAATGTCCCTGGCTTTGGCATTCAAAATTCCTGTGACTCACCTGGCTCTTTCACTTTCATGGGCACCAACTCTGGGGGTGCAACAGGTGCTGTACAGGGAAAGACAAAACCAAGGCAGCTTGAGGGTCTGTCTCCAAGCAAGGTACCCTTGAGTCCTCCACCCCAACCTCAGTACCTTGTACTTACCCGCAGGCTTTATCACATAAGGCTGACATGAGACACAGTCAAAGCCCTCATCTGCAGCCTGCTCAACTTCTTCCTCTGTGAAGAGGCTCTCACATCCAGCGTGCATCCACCTGAAATAAGGGAAAGAAGATTCGTCTAGGCAATGGCAAGACTGAAAACAGGAAGGGGCCAATGTAAAGAATAAGAGGTAAGGGACACCCTCACCGTTCACAGTGTCGGCACTGGATTAGGAGGTCCTCTTCCACGTACGGTGCATGACAGACAGGGCAGGTCACCAAGCTAGCACAAGGCCCGCAGTGTGTATAACTATTCTGCCATTCACAGTGGAAGCCAGGGGAAGCTGCTCCACACTGCATACAAGAGACACACCTACAGGAAAAGACAGACAGATTCTTAGCATCAAACCTACCCGAAGAACCTGAAGTCATCCTATTAACCAGTTTGGCTTCTTAAACCTAGACTCTGCCATTATCCAACATTATATTTACTTCGGCATCTCAGGCCCACTCTTCTGGAAATCCCACGTTTCCTTACCACTTGCACTTCCAGCCACCTTTTGGCACGGTGAGGAGTGGGGGTTCCAGACAGTACGTATGGTAGCTAATGTCACAGTCATCACAGAGCAACAGGCGTGAAGGGTCGGAGGCCTGGCCACACACCTCACAAACAATGCACTCCACACACCGCCAGCCCTTCAGCAGCATCACTTTGGTGATCTGATGTAGAAGATGGGAATTACTGGGAGTGTCACAGAGGTGAAGGCAGAACTCAGGGGAATATAGTTAAAATGGATAGGGCTGGAGGAAAGCCACTGTCCAGGCCACATGGAGGCTTATGCAGAGAACTCTCAACTCCAAACCAGCAATTCTAAACTTAGGCTCCCACAGGTGTCTACTCATCAGAGAACAGCCTCACCCAGCCATGCTCATTACTACAGTGGAACATCTATCTTTTTACTAAACAACCCCCTAAAATGTAGACTCACATACAGAACTGCAAGTTAAATATTAGCAGTGAGCAAGCTATAAATTAATATTAATGAAAAATTCCACAATGGCTGATCAGGCTTGGGTCGAAAATGCTGCTTTCTCTTTGTGGATACATGCTTATGATTTTACATTTTATCTATAGACTATCTCATTTTTTTTCCTAGCAAGACTGGTCATTTATGTGATGGACTGAATCATACCCTCATAAGTAAGAAAATACAGAATCATGACCTACAATGAACTATAAAACCCTAATTCCCATAGTACTTACTCTTCCTCAAGACAAGTTTGAAAATTACTAGTAAATGATCAAAGGCTTCGTCACCACCTTAAATAGTATGGCCAAAAAGTGACTTAAACTGACAAATAATTAATCCCATTCCCTAGCCCAGCCCTTCTGGGTCCTGAACTCACCTTGCTGTTAACACAGTAAGGGTGATAGCACTGAGAGCACTGGGAGCAGGCAAGAAGGTGGCCCTCTGCTCCCCGGCCAAAGCTGCCACACACCACACACATGTCCTGGGGAAACACACAGAAATTAGCATGTCTTGTGAGGTCTCGCCATCTACTTTATCCCAGCCCATGAACTACTCTATTAATGTGAGACCAGCAAGTCAGGGAATCCACAATGTAACCCACAGCACTAGCACACCATAAACCACAACAGGACCCTGCTTCTCTTCCAACTGACCCACAGAAACTGTTCCTTCCTAGAATGCCCTGTTCACCCAATCAGGTAACTTGAATTTATATTCCCTGACATGAAGAAAGGTAAAGTGGAATGACAAGAAGATGTGGGAGTCAGGATGAGAATAACATACGTCACAAAATTCTATCAGTTTCAGAATTATTCAGGTGAAAGTAATTAGACTTCCAAGTAAGCCACAATTATGCAAGAATCATTTCTTCCCTTTTCTCTAGTCTATCACTAGTTCTTGATACACTCAAGAGGAAATTTTGATGGATGGACAAATGAAGAGCATGACTCTGATTCATGGTCTATTTCCTCACTGAATGGGTATACCCAGAAGTAGGTCCTTAGTATTCAGCACGGCTTCTCCCACCAAAACACATGTACTCAATGTTTAGTGTGTCATGTCACAGGTAACTGCTAAGGACAGGATAACACTACTCAAGTGATACCTGCATTAAGACAAATTTGTCTGTGTTGGAGAAGAGAACCACAGTATTTTGCATGGTGTCATCATCTTCTTCTTCTTCCTCCTTGCTGGGAGAACTATCGATATCAGCAACCTTATGGGCAAAGAGTTATGGAAAGTGAGCAAGATAAATATGCCCCAATCAAGTTGCTTTCTTCTTTGGTGTTGGGGGATGGAGGAGTCAATCCCTGGCTAAAATGAAGACCAAGAGTCAGTACTACGAGGCAGAAGAACATCCCAGCTCCTAAACTGGGTCCCAGCCCAATGGTTGTTTTAGAGTAGCCTGGAACCAAGTGGGCAGAAAGAGCAGAGATTCAGGCCCAAGGCTAGCAAGCAGATAAGTAAAAATGCAAGGGCTTTTACAGTGTTCCATTTAGAAGGGGCCCCCTGAAGCATGTTTTCGGGGATAGGAGGCCTCTCCTTACTACCAGAGTCTCAATGGAAGAAGTAGTTGACTTTAGTCGGGCACGTCCTCTCCCACGTCCTCCATGTGCTCCTCCACGAGGCCGACGTCTTCCTGGGAAACTACTGCTGCGTCCCTGGGTGAGGGAAGAGGACAGTTGTAAGAACAAGACTAGACCTAGAATGTTCAGCTCCCAGGCCCAGGAAGATCAGAAAGAAATAGATAAATTATGATGGCTTATAAAGCTGAGAAGGGCCAGTTAGCACAGCAAAAAGTCAAACTCCAGATGCTGACGAGCAGCTCTGGCCCAAACAAACTCCCCTTCTCCAGAATAAAGAATGCCTAATGGAGTGACACGAAAGGAAAAAAAAAACTAGGTGGTGAAAAACCTGAGATTTTAATCCTGATCCCATTATTAACCGCAAACCTGAGCAAGTTACATTTCCTCTCTACACATCATTAATTCTCCTTAATAATAAAGCTACATACATGAAAGGACTCTGAGTCAAGGATTCAAAAAAGCAGGTAAGGTATCATAACACAGAATTGTACCTCTGGCTGTGGCATCAATAGCCCCTCACCTGCTTAATGCGAGAACGGGCAGGAGAACTGCGTCGCCTGCCCTTGTCCCCCTCGGCCTTGCCTCCGCTGACAGTTGTCCCAGCTTCACACAATAGCGAGTCATCAGTCTCTGGCAGTGAGTCAGTACACAGCCGCAAGGAACCCTCATCTCGGGCTGGGCTAACATCTGTAGATACTCCCAGCTCCATAGACAGGGAGCCACCCCCCTCAGGATCAGGTGAACCCAGCAGCGGCTCTGAGCCAGGAAAACTAGCACTGGCATCACCCTGACTCAGATTGGAGATCTCATTGACAATGTCAGATTTGATGAGAGCAGGTGGGGTAGGTGCCACTGGAGCACGTGGCTCCTCCTGCATCTCACAAGGTGAGCTCTGCCCGGCCTGCTTGCATTCTGGACCATAGACCTCCATAGGGGTCACAGGAGTCAGCTCCTCGGGGTCTAGGAGCACAGGGGAACCCTTAAGTTCACAAGCTGTTGAACTGCCAGGGGTCTGTCCAGCTTCTGGATGTGAACCAGGAGTGTCAGTCCCATCGAGAGGAGCTGTGTCTTCCCCCAGGCCAGAGAAGTCATCCAGCGCTGGGGCAGGGCTGGGAGCCGGGCAGGACAGGTCCTCCATAGGGGAAGGGAGAGGGCTGGTAGGACTGGGCTCCAAAGCTGGGCACTCAGGTTCCAGGTTTTTCTCAGTCTCCATCTCCTGTGGCTCAACCTCAGCTGAGACATCCATTGTCTTTTCCATGGGACTCAGCGGGGAGGGGATGGACAGTGGCAGAGCAGGAGGGGAACAGTGCGAAGGAGGAGAACTGCAGGGAGGCTGAGAATGCTGAAGGCGTGGAGAACACTGAGGAGGAAGGGGCTCCATTAGGATGTGGGAGGCTGATCTCACTGGGGAGCCTGGAGATGGAGGAAGGATCATCGGGGGTACAGGTTCAGGGTCAGTGCAATTTGCTTCTGGTGGAGGGCTTATGGGTGTCTCTAGGATAGGGGCAGCCAATGGTGACTCAGGGTTACTGTCCCCTTTGGCTCCAAAGGGGTACTCTAACTCCCCCAAAGGAGACAGGGCTGGTGGGGCCACAGCCGTGATAATGGGTGAGAGTGGAGGAGGAAGAGGTTCTGGAGGGAAAGAAAAAGAAAAGGGTTCTTTAGCTTAGATACACAAAAAGTAAGACAATCCCAGAGTAAGGGAGCATTAACATCTCCTTACCTGGTGGCATCTGCTGAGGTGACAGGGATGGCTCCCGAGATGGAGACATGGGTAGACCTTCAGGCAGAGGCGATAGAGGTGGTTCCTCAGGCTCAGGTAGGGCTGACTCCCCAAGCAGAGTAGACAAGGGTGGTTCCCCAGACAGGGGTAATAAGGGCAACTCCTGAGGTGTAGGACACAAGCCTGGTTCCTCAGGAGGTTCTTCAGGTTGAGGGGATATGTGTGGCTCTTCACGTACAGAGGATAGGCACAACTCCTCTGGTACAGGGGACAGGTGAGGCTCCTCAGACCGGGGAGACAGGTGAGGCTCCTCAGGCCGAGGGGACAGTAGAGGCCCCTCAGGCCGTGGGGAAAGACAGGGCCCCTCAGGCTGGGGGGACAGGCAAGGCCCTTCAGGCTGGGGGGACAGGGGGTGCTCCTCAGGCCGGGAGGACAAGTGAGGCTCCTCAGGCCGGGGGGACAGGTGAGGCCCTTCAGGCCGGGGGGACAGGCGAGGCTCCTCAGTCCGAGGGGACAGGTGTGGCTCCTCAGGTGCAGAGGACAGGTGAAATTCTTCAGGTGCAGGGGACAGGTGAGGTTCCTTAGGCGAGGAGGACGGGTGCAGGCCCTCAGGCGTGGGAGACAAGCGAGGCTCCACAGGCCGATGACAGAACTGCAGCTCTTCAGGCCGAGGACAGAACTTTGGCTCCTCAGGCCGGAGGCAGATACGTGGCTCCTCAGGCAGTGGTGACTGGTGTGATTCTTCCCGTGGTAGGGACGTGAGCAAGCCCTCTGGTGGTGGGGAAGCAGGTGAGTCTTCAGGTGGCAAGGACATGGGTGAATCTTCAGGTGGTGGGGACAGACGAGAAGCCTCAGGTGGAGGGGATGTGGGAGACTCCTCAGGTGGAGGGGACAGGGGAGACTCCTCAGGTGGTGGAGATAAGCGTGACACCTCAGGCAGGGGGCACAAGCGTGACACCTCAGGTGGGGGTGACATAGGGGAGTCTTCAAGGGGTGGGGACATGGGTGAGTCCTCAGGTGGTGGGGACAAACGTGATGCCTCAGGTGGTGGGGAGAGAGGAGACTCTTCAGGTGGAGGAGAAAGAGGAGATTCTTCAAATGGTGGGAACAGACGAGATGCCTCAGGTGGTGGAGACATGGGTGACTCTTCAGGTGGAGGAGACATAGGTGATTCCTCAGGTGGTGGAGACAGGCGAGACGCTTCAGGAGGTGGGGAAGTGGGCAATTCTTCAGGTGGGGGAGACAGAGGAGACTCCTCAAATGGTTGGGGTGCTGTTTCAGGTGGTGGGGACAAGGGTGTCTCAACTGGGGGTGATGGAGGAGACTCTTCTGGTGGAGAGAAGGGTGACTCCTCAAGTGGAGAAAAGGATGACGATTCAGGTAGGGGAGATTCCTCAGGCGGTGGAGAGAGGGGTGATTCCTCAGGCGGTGGGGACAGGCGCGATGCCTCAGGCGGTGGGGACGTGGGTAATTCTTCAGGTGGAGGGGACAGGGGTGACTCCTCTGGTAGGGGCAGCAGTGGCATCTCCTCATTAAGGGGGGCCTCCAACCGGGGCTCAAGTTGGGCCCCTGTTCTCCCTGCAGACATAACACACTATGTTCCTAACTAGCTCAGTTCTCCTCCACATAAAGTGCGGGGTCTGGGGCAAAGTGAAAACTGCCCATTGTCACAGAATAGAAAAGGATTAACTTCGAGGACCTTCATATCTACTCACCTAGTGGTTTGGCTTCACATTGCAGGAGCCCCGGTTCCTTGGATTGCATAGAGGTCACATGCCCACCCTTTGGCTGCCCTTGGCATGCAATGTACAGAGCACTGCATTCATCAGTGGGGGTATCACCAGGCTCTGGAGGTGAGAATCTGCAGAGGGTACAGGAGGTAGTGGGCCCTGTGGCACTCACCAGCTAACAACTCTTAAGAGAGCACTTTGGGACAAGGCATAAATGCTGTGGATTGGAAGTCAACTTTAGCATCTCTTCTAACATCCACTTGAGTACACAGTCCCTGACAACTTCAATCCTGCCAATCCTCCTTCCCAACCTCATCCAGACCACACTCCTTACCTGCTACAGACAAGAGGATGCTGCTCAGCAGTAGGACCAATAGGCTGACCTCCCTGGGCTTTGTGACAGCGGTGACAGAGTGAGTAGTTCTCAAACCATTCGGAGTTGGGATTTAGCTCTGCTGAGCCTGCCCCACAGACTCGACATACCCGGCATGCCTAGGGGAAGAAAGAAAGCAAAATAGGCATTGGTCAACCAGTGGAGACTAGAAGAGATCCCAGGACTGTTAACAGAGGAGAATTCTGGGGATGTTGTAGAAGGCAAAATTAGGGAGACAGCAGATTGTAGGGATACTCACCTTACACTTCCAAGAGTGAGCTGGCAATTCCTCCATGGGTGGTTTTAGGCAGAAGGTATGGTATCCTTTGTCACATGTCTCACAGACCAACATCTTAGAGTCATTCCCAGGTTTCCTGAACAAGAAGCATGGGGGACATTACAAAATACTACCTAGATTCGTTTTCAACCCTAACTTCTGCTTCACCTGAGATATCCCAGGTGATCCTACCTGCAGGCTTGGCACACTTTGCATTCAGGGCACTGCCAGCCAGCACGCTTACGGGCAGTCAGAGCAGTATCCAAGCAGGCCCCATGATAGTGATGCCCACAGCTGGTACAGAAGAAGAGGTCACACAACTCCCCTGGCCCCTCACATACTGCACAACGAGCTTCCTCTGCAGTGGGAGAGACAGAGGACAGATCATAGTTTCTTTGCAAGTCTCATCAGTGCCGTACAGATAACAAGCATGGATGAATGACTTCATGGACAAAGAATGAATGAATGACTGCCTAACACATGCCAGGCACTGTTTTAGGCACGGCAGATACAGTGGAGCAGCAAAGCCTCGTACTCACACAGTTCAGATCTAATTAACTGGGGTCAAGTGACAAATACCGATTTTGACAAGGGCACTGTGGAGCACAAGAAATCAGGGCTCCTATGGCCCCTCTTTGTTCTATGTCCAAAGAACATGATTTCTCACCCAGATGCGCGGCCCCCTCACTGTGCTCTGGGCATAGCAGCTGCAGTGTCTTCATGGATAAGAAGGAACCACTGGCAGTTGCGCAGGGAAAGTGGTAAAGCCGTGGACATCCAGGTGAGCGGCAAGGGATGGAGGCACCAAGCCGGGTGCAGTGGGAACAGCGCTGCCAGGATAGAGATAAAGCCTTAGTACCAGCCAGCTCTCTCCACAGCAGGGGTTCAGACATCAGTTCTGACCCAATCTTCCCACCTCCACCCACCTTGGCTCTCCTACTCTCCACAAGCCCAGCTTTGCCCTTCACCTATATAATCCCTTACTCCAGTTCTACCTGTGAGATCCCTGAGAAGATGGCCTTGTCCACACCACATAATTCTGGGCCCTCCTGCCCACAGACACCTGCTGACCACGCAGCACACCAATGGTGAGCCCAGCAGGGTCCTTTGAAGGTGATAAAGAAGTAAAGGGTTAACAGAAAAGTGGCAGCTAGCTCAGAAAAGCCCAATCCTTATCCCTTTTCCTGCCCAAAGCAATTATCCCACTTCCCCTAACTTACCTCCGGGTTCACCTAGATGAGCTGGTGTCAGGCCCTCAGGGAAACCAATCTGTGATAGGTCTTCACTGGATAACGCTGGTTCATTGGGCCCTGAGTCCCCACCAGAAGAAACCACTGGACACCGAGGCCAGTCAAATGGCAACTCAAAGCGCCGTAGCTCCCGCTGCCCATGCAGACTGGGCTCCCCGCAGTTACAGAGAGCACAACGCCGCACTGGCCCTCCACTGTGGACATAAGAACATCAGCACCAGACCTGGTCCTGCCAAGAGGCAGGTCTGACAGCCATAATTTGGTATGCCTGTACCACTCAATCACTTATTTTCTTAAATCCTTCCCCCTCGAAAGTGCCAGATTCTCAAGTCAAATCCTTGTATGTTCTTACATGCTCCTTTTCTCCATACTAGTTACCTGCAGTCCTGGGCAGGATCCGGAAGCCTGGGAACTCCAGAACTGGGGACAGAGACCTCCCCCACATGTGGTTTGGGAAGGTCTGGCTCAGCGGCACCTGACTCCTCAGAGGCTGCTGGTCCATCAGCTGAAATGAACAACGCAGCACAGGACAATCATCATCCCTCATCTGATATAAGCTCATTTACTAAACCAGTGAAATTGATCCAAAACTCTTGGTGATCACAAGGGCATGATTTCAACTTTCATCCCAAAGAACAAAGTCTTTTAATTGCCTGTCTACTGTACAGAATGAGTTCCTATCTTTGTGCCAGGACCAGAAATAAAGGCTTTCTGAAAGAGCTCAACGCTGATAGCAAACACAAAATTTCTGACTCACCTGCTGGTTCTGAATCTTTGTCTTCACCAGACGGCTTCTGACTGTCCATCCCTCTCTCCGACTGGGCAGGGCCCTCTCGGGGAGACCTGTCAGTACCAAGAGAGGTACCCACATGTCAATTAAGTCTCTCCACTAAATACTTTCCTCCAGGATCGCCAAAAGACAGTTGATGATACTCAAATTCTGTAGACATTAGAGCAAAGCCATACCTACAAACTTCTGTACTAATGACAAGAAAAGTCATTCACCCTAAGTTTTATTCCACTGCTCATTTCCTCCCCAGATATACATCCTTGTCTCTAACTCTGAATTCTCCTTTCCTACCCAAGCCTCTTCTGTGAAAGTTATCTGCACAACAGCATACAAGCAGAGTCACATCCTACATGTAGCACTACCTTTTGCCACATCACTGAGCTCCTGATTTTTGGTGGGCACTGTTCTCTGGTCTTCTTCAGCTACAAACCTAGGGGCCAACTGCCAGGAGTAGTCATGACCCAGAAGTCTGAGTCCAGCCCAAATCCCTTTCCTTGAGACAGTCTGGGGTCTTAAAGGAGGTAGAACAGACTACTGGAATTAAAGCCCTGGGATCCTCCCCCTTCTATGGCTTTCGACCAGGATTATTTAATTCTAATTACAACAGAGGAAACTCCCCAATTTTCAACCACTGCACAATCAAATCCACTTCAGGCCCACCCCTGAACCCCTCCAGTTCCTGCCCTAAAAGATCTCAAGATCTCACCTAGCCTAAAGGCCTCGGGTCGTTGCCCTTAGCAACGGCAACTGCCCTTCCTCCTCTGGTGTCCCTAGTAGTTAACAGAAGTGGGCCTTAAGAATTACTGAGCATGTGTAGCCAGGCCTGCAGCAAGGCATGCTGGGAGTTGTAGTCTCAGGAAGCACACTGCCACTTGGAGGAGTTCTAAACTAGACAGGGCAAGAGCACAGCAAAGCTGCTTCCTTCCTTTTCCATCAAGCAGGGTTTTCACACATATTGGCACTTGTGGGGAGGCAGGTAATGGTCCCTGCTGCTAAGATATGACTGCCTGTACCAGAACCTGAGGAAACATACTAAAGTTATACCTAAGAAGATGAGATCCAAACCTTTGGGCCTTAATAGCTTACTAGAACTGAGGAAACTAAACACAACACACAAAAATAAGAGAGTATAGCTTAGATAAGGCTATCTAAAGTGAGAAAAAAGGATCTTATAAAGAAAAAGGAGGAACAGACAGGTGCTAGTGAGAAAGGCAGAAGAAAAGTTTCAAACATTCCTAAAAAAGATAAGGATTATTCATAAAAGAGAACCCTAAATAATAGTTTGAGAAATTTGTCTCTCACCTTTTGCATTCCTTTTGTTTAATCAAGAGACCACATCTACCTTAGGACAATCCCTCTTCCCAAACTGCAAGGAAAATACCCAATTCAGCCCCTTGGGGCTGAGTGACTGGGGCAAATGAGACAAGGGGAAACCTCAAAGGAACCCAAGATCAGGAAATCAATTACTTAAGAACCGCAGTATTACTCCTCTTTCCTTGAACTTACACTCTTATTTCCAACGACTGGCAATGCCCTTCCTGAGATATGTCACAGGAAATTATTTTTCTTTACAATCCTTTCATACTCTCAGAATCTACCATATAGAGAAAGTGAAGCATCCATCTCAGTTAGTTCTTTCCCAAGCTTGTCAAACCAAAAAGCAAAGTAGGGTGGCCCGCCGGCTAGACCATGGGAAAGCTGTTCTTTAAGGAGACCCTTAGAAATCATCTATGGAAGTGCGGTTTGGAGGTCAGGTCAAAAGCCAGATCCCTCTTCCTAATCAGTCATTCAAGGCTTGACTACACCCAAGAGGTCCAAAGGGGCTTCAAAGTTTACTAAATGTTTGCATCTTACTGTATCTTACAGTTTTAACACTATTGTTCCCCAAAATTCTCCTCCATTCCCTTTGCTCTCAAACTCGAGGCCAAAGGAATTAAAAACAGAAAGAAATAAAAAGCAACAGTGATAATACAGTGGGTGGGAGGAGGACCGCCTCATACAAGGCCAAAGGAACAAATTCCTCTGTCCTCGGAGGACAGCAGTCCTCTCAGGATGGTATGTCTGGGCCTGATCGGTGAGGTAGGTAGGAAACCACCTTTGTCCAGCCTTGGAGACAGTATCAACATCCTCCAAAGGCAGAGCCCCATTGGGTCTTTGAAAAATAAGAAATCAAGAAGAAAAGAGTACAGTATCCTCTAAGCTATCAAAAAGAATCTAGGGAGTACCAAGAAACACTAACTTTTACTTCCTTATCCCTGCAGTCTAACACCTGCATCCCAATGTTGAGTCCTACAGTTTATCAGGACCTTAAACAGAGCTAAACAAATAAAGACCAGGTTTCCCCAACCCCATCACTCACAGCCAGAAACCACACATACACCACACCAGATCTTAACTGGGCTAGGTAGGGCCTGGCTAACCTTATTCTGAAAAACTACTGATCATACAGACCAACTACATTTGTAGGGAGTGAAAAACTATGCTGTTTCTACCTAGTGCTAGCACTAAAAGGCCCAAAACATCAAGAAAGGAGACTGTGATTTATCTAAATCTACTTTCCTCTCTGGCTCCTCCATCCTAGTCCCATAGCTTTCAACTCCTTTTCTCAATCAGGGGGGAAATGGAGGCTTGGAGAGGTGAAAGGCTGAAGTAGGCCCTTGAGTGAACAGCTCTTCAGTGGGGCTCAGGACTTCCTGGTTCCTAGTAAGAATCAAACCACACCTCTTTCCACCCCCATTTTGGGTCAACCTTCCAGAAAGGATCCAAACGGCAACACTGGTGCTGATGACCTTTGGGGTCAGCTACAAGAAGTCCTAGGCTCTAAGGAAGTTGTTTGAGAACACAGAAGAAGAGGAGCCTTTCACAGGTGGCAGAGCTAGAGTACAGATGACAGATCACTCATTCCACCATCCTGTACCACCTCTTGTCTTGGAGTTTCCACCCAGAAATCTTTCAAAGCAGAGACCTTATTTCCTCCATTCCAAGACCAGGCTCAAAGAGATCAAGTGTGTGTATGATGGAGGGGGGTGGAGTGAGGGAGGAAAATGCACCAGCCAAATCCCTGCTGGGCAGCATGACAGGTGTGAGAGGGGCTGTCCCAGCCCAGGGCCCAGAGGCTCATGCTGAAACCTTCAAGCACGTATATACACACCCCTTGTCTTCAACGTCTCTTCCCAGAGGTGGAAGTGGTGGCTTCCAACAGGTACAGTTCTCATCAGACCATTTCCCCTCAAAAGAAGTAGAGGTTACCCTATTCTGGAGCACTGAGACAGGATCTAGGGACCAAGCTCACATTCCCAGGTTGGAAAAGGTCTGGGATGGGAAGTGGTGTCAGAGAAGGGCTGCAAGATTGCTAGGGATTCATGGGCAGCTAGCTTTCTACCTCAGCTACGGAGAAATCAGGAGACAAAAGCCATTTTTTTTTCAGCCCACATTTCACAGGGAGCAAATCTCAACAGCCTCCTCTATAATCCCTTGGAGATTATGTCCATCCTGAGAGGAGGGGAGGCAAAGCAGGTTAAGACAGCAGTAGGCCTTGCTGGGGTCACTTTGCCAAGAGGGTTTGTTGTCCGCTGAACAGCAAGGCCAGAGCTGCCCCCAGCCCCACCTCATTCCTGCTCCAGTCACCCCCTTCAACACACTAGTCAGTTTCTACACACTTTCTCCATTGCCCAATGAAAGAAGGCCTGGTGAAGGATCTGAGACATCCTGAGTTTCCCAAGGACTCCTTTGGGTGCCTGGCAGGGTAGGAAGAGCCTTAAAGTCCAACCTGGCAGTAAGGCCAACCTGGCAGTGGCACCCTCCCCTTATACAACCCCCATCTTAAGTTGTTCTGCTCCCCAGGCAGGCTGGAACCCTGGGGGAGAAGCAGAAGCCTAGAGCTGGTGCTGCTTTCTGGGTCCTAGTTTAGTCAAGCTCCCCTCAACACAAAAATAAACAGGCAGAAAGCAGATCTGGCTAGGTTCCCAAACTCCCGTGGTTCCCTGAACCCCTAGTCTTTAAAGAGGCACACCCCAAGTCCCCAGGCCTCAGTTCTGCTCTGGCCACTGGCTCAGGTTCCTTTGACAGACCATGCCAACTGGCACCCCCTTCTCCAACCTAGAGGCCAGCTCCAGCCAAGATAGTCCATCTGGCTGCGCCCCTAGTCCAACCCTTTCTGGGCCCTGGCCGGGCGGACTTCACTCACCTCTTCACTGGGCGATCCAGAAATCCTCATCCGAGAACATGGCCAGAGCCCGGGCCGCTCCCCGACCTCCAACCGCCAGAGCGATCACAGCCGCCCCCCGCACGGGGGGGCCTACGGTGGCCAAAAACGGTAAATCCAGGTCGGAGTGGCCACCCTCTCTCCCCCCAAAAAAAGCAAGAAGCCAAAGGAGGATTTTCTGCTTTTAAGTTCCAACAGTTTAGGTTTCCATGGACAGCCCCAGGGCGGCGAATCCCGAGCGGACACAAAGAGAGCACCGGTGGCTTTGATCTTGGGCTAGGAGGCTCCGCATCCGCGTCGTCGGGCCGCCCCTCTCAGTCCCAGGGCCAGGCCAGCGCCCCGGCCGCCCGCGCCGGGCTCGGGTGGAACGTCGAGGCTCTCCAGATGGAACGTCGAGGCGCCTCCCCAGCCGCCCGGAAGGAATGCCGCGCCGCACCGCGCCGGGCCCGGATAGAACGTGAGCCCCTCACAGGAGTGCAGCAGCTCTCTCCTCGCCGGGCCGGCGCCCCAGGGCCGCGCAAGCTAAGACGACGCGGAGCCGGCGGGGCCGAACCTGACACACACCCAGCGCCGCGTTCCTCGATCCCGAGCGTTCGCCCTCGGCGCCTTCGAGTCCCCCACCTTCTGCTCCTCCCGGGGAAGGGAGGAGGGTAGGTGGGCGAGGAAGAGGAAGGGGCGGGCGGTGCGAGCCCTCAGCCCGCTCCCCGCCGGCCGCTCCAGGCCCTGCGCTCGCCTCCCTTCCCCTTCTGGCTTCGGGGAGCTGCCCCGCCCCCGGCCTGGCCGGCTCTGATCAGCAGCACCTCTTCGACCCC